TAACAGGACCAGAGAGTATGTAGATCACAAGGGGGTGGATTCAGAGAGAGGTTAGTCCTCTCCTGGTGAAATACAGGCAACCCCCACTTAACGCTGTTTTGCTTAGCACTATTTCACTGTAACGCCCATTTTACATTGATACCCAATACTACTTAGCGTTCAGCAAGTTTTGTTATAACACTCATGGCATCATACAACTGGCAGCAGGGAGTGTAAAAATCCTCAACCAAGCACTTCAAAACCCCCTGGGAAAATTGGTTTCGCTTAACGCTATTCTGCTTAATGCTTGTTTTTTTGGGAACCAAATAAGAGCGCTAAGCAGGGGCTGCCTTAACCAACTAGAAGAAATAGGGGATCTGGGCTGCCAGTTCTCCATGAGGCCCCCATGGCAATGTTAGGGGGAAGAAATTAAAGCAGGAGAAGGAAGTGTTGCCCTATCCCTGTCATCAGTCCTGCCAAAGAGCACATCTGCTGCAGGGCTGAAGCTGCCTAGGAGTTCATATAGTGCTATCATCCCCCAAACCAGGACACCTCACCCTGACACTGAAGAGTAGTAAGTTGGATTCTCCTGACACTAGTTTTGATCCATTGATTCCCAGCCCCCTCTGTGAGGCAGCGGGGAGCACTTGAGGAAATGTTGGTGGCATGTGCAGAGGTGTGGCATGCTGTCACCTTCATGCAATGCAATGTATCACATGAACTGCCTGGGCAAGAGAAGGAGGAGCTCTCTGACTTAAGGACTGGTGCTTGCTCCTCTTCTGAGAGTACAGGTTTCCCTCAATTTATGCAGTAGATGCTTTCCTAGGGAATGGTGCATAAATCTAATTCATATAAAGTGAACCCAGTTTACAATGAAACAGATAAGGATGTGTTCCTGTGGCAGTGAAGAAGGAAAGGAGTGATGCTGGGGCTAGGGAAGGGGTGGGGAGAGAAAAGCGGTGCAGCCCAGTGGCTGCAAGCAGGCAGCGTCTGCCACTCCCGGGGCTGCAGCAGGGGTAGCACCAGGCTCTTTGTGGTGCTCACGGTGGGTGGCAGCCCCATTCAACCGACTACTCCCCACTCACCCCACTGCTCCACTTAGTTTCATAGTTTCTAGGGTCGGAAGGGACCTGAGTAGATCATCTAGTCCGAGCCCCTGCCATGGCAGGAAAGAGTCCTGGGGTCAAACGACCCCAGCAAGGTATACATCCAGCCTCCTCTTAAAGACCCCCCAGGGTAGGAGCCAGCACCACTTCTCTTGGAAGTTGGTTCTAGATCCTAGCCACCCTGACCGTGAAGTAGCGCCTCCTGATATCTAGCCTAAAGTGAACCCAGTTTACAATGTGTTCTCCCCACTCACTGCAGCCCCTGCTGCAGCAGCCCCAGGAGCAGCTGACACCAGCTACCTGCAGCCACTGAGCTGCACCATGCCCTGAATGCCCCAGCACAGTGCGGCCCATCGGCCGCAAGCAGGCAGCACCTGCCACTCCCAGGAAAGAGCCTGGTGCCACCACCAGCCCCAGCCTGCAGCGACTGCCGGCCCCAGCCTGTTCTCATCTCACTGCAGGTGGCTGCCTGCCCCTACTTCAGCCCTGGGAGTGGCAGACTCTGCCTTCTTGCAGCTGCTGGGCTATGCCATGCCAGGTGGTTTGGGGCATGGCGCAATCCAGAGGCTGCAAGCTGCTGGCATCAGCCATTCCCAGAGCAGCTGCAGCAGGTGTTGCGGTGAGTGGGGCCCCGGCCCCATGGCCCTTTCCCCTCTCCTTATCCATCCCCTCCGCTCACGGCCCTTTCCCCTCCCCTCACAAACTCACAAACCTACCTGCTTGGGGGAGGTGGGAGAACACCTATGCCGATCACATAACAGCAAATTTACCTTGCATATAATGAATTTCCGGTATGAAAAGGATCATCGCATAAAAGCAAATTTGCAGAAATTGAACCCGCATAAATCTAGGGAAACCTGTACTAACAAGGTAGGCTTCTCCCTACACTGCATCTTGACCAGTCTGGCCCAGGTCAAAGGCTTGTCATTTGCCCATCAGACTGTCCAACAGCAATAGCACCTCTTAGCAACACCATTAGCAGCACGAGGAGAGACTAGGGCACCTGGACCTCTTCAGCCTCTGCAAGAGAAGGTTGAGAGGTGACCTTGTGGCTGCCTATAAATTCATCATGGGGGTGCAGAAGGGAATTGGTGAGGCTGTACTTACCAAGGCACCCCTGGGGGTCACAAGAAATAATGGCCATAAGCTAGCAGAGAGCAGATTTAGACTGGACATTAGGAAGAACTTCTTCACAGTTAGTGGTCAAAATCTGGAATGGGCTGCCAAGGGAGGTGGTGCTCTCCTCTACCCTGGGGGTCTTCAAGAGGAGGTTAGATAGACATCTGGCTGGGGTCATCTGAACCCAGCACTCTTTCCTGCCTATGCAGGGGGTTGGACTCGATGTTCTATTGAGGTCCCTTCCTACCCTAATGTCTATGAATCTATTAATCATTCTGTTGTGGCATCTTTGCTCCCAGCCTGGACAAAGCCAAGGAGGATCTGGGTTACCTGGTAGATCCATGACTTGCACATGAACTCCATTCTGCACTAGGTCCCGGAGGCCTTGTCGGTTGCGTTCATCCATGTGCTTGAACAGTTGGGCTGCCTTGATCACCAGGGTTACATGAGGGTGTGCCTGCAAAAACTGCAGGATCCTTCTACAGCATCGGCCGCAGGGACTCCAGGACAGAAACCAGGTGATATGGCAGGGCACAGGATGATTGAACTGTAGCTTCCCAAAGGCATTTTCCAAGCAGTTGACTTCAGCATGTTGGGTGAGTGTGTTTGAGCACCGGTTTCTCCACACCTTGGATCCTTTACCCCACCTGATCTCATACAGCAGGTGTGTCACCTTGGGCCAGGTGCTGGGCATATAATTCTCCTGAAAGCTTTTCAGCTCTATCTTCCATCTGAAACATAAACACCATCAACTTGCCCCCCTCGGTATCTCATGCATCAGAGGCTCTGCACATTGACCACACCATCACTGCCTTTCTGTGCTTTTCATTCAAAGATGTTCCCTGGGCAGCTTTTCCATTCATCCCAAAATGCTGTCTGGGCTTTTCCATTCAGCATTCACTCAGCAGAAAAAAAATAAGCATCCATTTCAAACTACAGAGGGACATTTAGAAGGAGTTGAAATCCAGTGGTCTCCAGGAGGAATTAAGCCAAGTCACCAGTGTGATCTTCCTGCAGTTCCCCCCAGTGAGACATCCAGCCCTTGCTCCAGAGCACAGCCTGCAGCAGTGAAACAGGATGACAGAGGAAGATATAGGGACAGATCTAGGCTAGAAATGATAAAAGAGAAAAGTTCCTGTAGAGTTTCTCAGCTCCTGCAGATCTGACAGCACGGCACAGGAAGTGACAGTCTCACCTTTGGCTGGTGCCTAGGAGACCTGTTGAAGAAAGATTTGAAAGTCAGTTGGTGGAGGCAGGAGCTTAGAAGAGTCCTGTGTCCTTTCCCTCCTCATCCCTGCAAGTCACTAGAGCTTGCCGTGCCAAATCTCTTGCTCTCATTTTCCTTCACAGATGATCCCCACACAGTCCTCATACTAGAGGGCTCTGCTCCTATCCAGTATGCCCAAAAGGTAGAAATTCCTCACACCCCAAATTCAGTGACTGTTTTAACTGTTTTTGCCTTCACACATGGGGTTTGATTCTGATCTGAAACTAGTTTTATACCTATGATATTCCAGTGGTGTTGTAGCTGATTTACTCTACTGTATTGAACAACAGGGTCAGGCTCCTTGTTTATATTTGAAGGTACTACTGGAAGCCCAGGCTTGATTTTTTTTCCCCTTGGTCCCCAGTCATGAGGAATCAGGCAGAAAGAAATTTGGGAATCAAACAATTCGTTTTCTCTGTGACTTGGTTTGCTGTATAATCTGAAGATTTTTTTCAGAATCAGAAAACTTTCCTGGATTCTTACCAGTCCTATGTTTAACAGAACAAGACTTAAATTTCAAAATCTATTACATATACAAAATGAACATTCATGAACAGATATCTACACAAAGGTAACAGAGCCACAGGTGGCACACACTCAGCAGCACAGGTACTCACACGTCCTCAAGGTGTCATACGTGCTCAACAAATACAGAAAAATACACACACACTCCTTACCTTTCTTTTCACCCACAGCCATTGCTTCTGCTTACTGTAGCTCCAGATGCAGACTATTTGTACTCCTTTTTTTTTTTAGACATTTTCACTTTCAGTTTCTCTTCCGGAGAACTGAAACTTGTCGCCTAGTATCGGTTTCTCCCACTAAGGTTGCCACTTCTGTTTGAATCTATTCCGAGAGTTTTTATCACATGATGTAAAGATATTAATGACTAATCTATGGTACTGAACTCAGGAAGGCAAATGTACATTACTATTACATTTTAAAAACTCACTGGACTACTGTATAAATTCGATTCAACATTTAATATTTATTTTTATGAATGCCCCATCATTTATCTCCCAGGTGACTCTCAGCAGACTTCTGGATATTTATACAGCATAAGCTGTGTTAACCAGCACTTTATGAGCCAGAAAACTCTATTAACTGGCATCCGAGGTTAGCAGCAAAAGGGGAAGCACCACTTCCGGGTTTCGCTGCCGCTGTGAGCAGAGTTCTTGCCACTTCTTTGGCCATAGCCCAGGGCAAAGCAGCCTGAGTGGGGCAAAGCAGCCTGTGCAGGGCCCCGTCCCTGTCCCCCGGCACACTGACACTGGGGAGTACATCAGACGGTGCACATTTGATTAACCAGAATATTTGATTAACTGGTATCCCCCATTCCCAGGGGATGCCAGATAACAGAGCTTTTACTGTATGTAATTCCTGGAGACTCCAGGAAGGTTGGCAACCCAATCCTGGAGGGTTGGCAACCCTAAATCCCACATAGGTGCAGTAGGACCTAAGAGGGCATGCTGTTACTTTAAGTAGGTCTATATATAGGGTAAAGAACTACACACTGGCCATGCCTCCACAAGATGCTGGCTGAACAGTAGCTCATTACTACTACACAGTAACTTGTTTCTACTTTTCAGGAGTGTCGCATGGCACAAAGCATGACGCAACGCTAGTGTGCAGTAGTAACAAACTACTGTGCAGTAGAAATGAGCTACTGCACAGTCAGCGTCAAAAAAAGTTGTTTGGCGATGCTACTGCGCAGTAGCTCCAGTTACTGCGCAGTCATTTAGTAGTTGTGTATGCAAGTACTAAATGACTGTGCACTAACAACTGTGCAGTCAGCATCTTGTGTAGAGGCAGCCATTGTCAAGAAGGTAGCAGTACCTGGCCCTCAGAGCTTTGTGTATCCTGTCTCTAAGCCCCCTGCGCTGGTTTGTGACAACCCTTGAGTAAGGTTCAGGCAGGGGAAAAAGTATCTCCCTCACTACCGTGTTGCCTGGGAAAGGGCAGCCCAGGACCAGACCTGCTTATGAATTCTGTATGTGTGTACTTACCAGGCCCTCCAGAGAGAACCCACTGGGGAGAGCAGGTAGAGCCCTTGTGCAGACAGCATCATGAGGAGGGCATCATACTGCCCAGGCAGGATGACTGAGCAGGTACCCAGTGATCAATAACTTGAGAATTAATGCTTCAGTATTCACTACTGAGCATTTCATGGGCAGACTGGGAAGAAGGGAAAAAGAAATAAAATCCAGGGTTTACTTTTTCAGCTGCCAATGTATCTTCTTGGAAACCATCTGCTATGTGTATCTCAGTGGATGACAGCTACTGTTGATTTTTCCTGATAAATGTGTGTTGAAAGGTAATGTCTGGAAAATGTATCTGATATTTATTCTGGGTGGAACAAATTATGGTGGGGGACCTTACAGAAGGACAAGTGAAAAAGATGTGGAGGGAGGTGGCTGACAAATGCCAAAATGGGGAGCATGCTGATCTAGCAGGGTTGGTCATATGAAATATCTTGCTGGCGAGGGAGGTACAACATAGATGGAGCTTGGTGAGAACAGCAAAGTATCCAAGGGAGAGTTGTGGGGATGAAGAAACAGAGACATGTTTTGGGAGAGTACGTATGCAAAGGTTGTGAGGGAAAGGGTACATCATTTTTTGAGCACCACAAAAATAATCCAGCCCTAAACGCAAGAGATGGTATTGTTCAGGTTCATATCAAAGGGGCCTAAGGAAACAATATTAAGGGCACTGTTAGCAGGTTTTAAAAAGCAGTATATAAAAAGTAAGAAACCTCTGAGTTTTTAAGGGCTTGGCTTTCACTGAAAGAGGGTTCCTGAAGCTGGGGCTGCATGAACTAAAATACTACATCAGTCAGGACAAGGAAGAGATCAGAGCAGAGGAGGCAGAGAAGAAGGGAAAGAAAAAGGACCAGACACACTTGTTTCACTGAACCAGCAGAGAGAACTTGTGGAAGGGTCAGAGAGTTTCAGATGGTTACTGAGGCAATAGGTGTTTTTTCAGAGGGAGATTAATTGATATTCATGGGGTTCTGTATGAAGAAATATAGTTCTGTAAGGTATTTTTTGTGGTATTTTTTGAGGTTGATGTATGTTGCTTAAGGGTTTAACACATGTAGTTGTATGTTTTTCATATGTAGTTGTTTTGTAATATGAAGTATAACCTGGGTGGCGGCCCAATAGTTGCCACCTCACTCAGTATCAGGGATGGTGTGGTGAGAGTGGGGCAGGGCTTCCGGCCAGCACCAATTTACTTTCCAGCCGGCCCCTACTCCCCACAGAGAAGCCCATGGTCTCAAGAAGGTCTAACACTTAACTGACTTAACTATTTACACTTTATTTACAAAACAAGAATAATAGGAAAGGTTATTTACAAGTGAACTTAAACGGCATAACCAGAATCACAACACAAACCAGAATGCATTTTTCAACCCTTGACTCAAGAACCACAGGTCGGGTAACTGGCAGCTTTCAGCCACTGCTGAGATGCTACCACAAGGAAGCAAGGTGCTCACTCCCTGCAGCTCCAACAGGCTTCCCAATAAGCGACAGACTGCAACAGGTTAAACTCTTCTGGTCAGCAGCAATCAAATTGTATCAAACCCCAACCCCGCAAAGAAGCTGAAGGATGACCCTCCGTGGCAACCAAAAGGCAAACAAAAAAGTAGGCTCTGCAGCAATCAGCATGACCCAAGCACAAAGCTCAGGGACTCCATCCGATGACAATCAGCTGCAGAATAAGGGACAGGACTGAGTCCCCTCTGAGGCAGTCAGTGGCAGAGGGTCAACAGCACAGGCAGCTCCCAGGAGTTGTTGCTCCAAACCCCTGCTCCAGATGACTGGCCGGGCATGCCACGTGCCTCACAGCTCACCAATCCCACTCTGAGCGCTGGCCTGCACCCTGAGCTCCCAGGGACCCTCGTCCTGATGTTCTGCTGCTCCTCAGGATCCCAATGTCTTGCCTGCTGCTGTTCCGCTTCCCCAGGGAAGAGAAGGGGTTTCCTCAACTCACTGGCCCAGCTCCCTGCTCCAGATAAGGATGCCGCCTGCGCTCCTGCCCGCTGCTGGTTCTCCGCAGTGGAGTGGGGGAGCTGACTGCCACCCCGAGCCTCTGGGACGCCCAGCACGCCCAGCACACTGTGATGGGACCTTGGGGCCCTGGCTCTCTGCCCCAAGCCCTAGCCGCTGCTCCCTCTGCTGCAGGGCTGGAGGCACGGCTGACTGCTGCTGCCTTCTTCTCCCAGGGCCTTTGAGGCTCTTCAGAGGGGTCTCTCTGCTCCCTCTGCTGGGTCAGCTTACCCCAGCTCTTCCTAGGCCTCCTGCATCATTCCCCGGAGTCACTGTCAGCAGCCCCCACACACCAGTTCGGCTGATGCTTTTATCCCCCCCAGCAGTCCCTCCCTGGCTTGCAAACTGGCCAACAAGGGCTCAGGGTGGCAGGCCCCCAACCCCGGCCATCCCCCTTCCATGTGACTGAAGGGATTGAAAATCCCTTCTTTTGATCAGCTTCTGCTTTTCCACAGGGCAGGTCTCCCCCTGCTCCACCCCCCGGGTCGCTCAGAGTTCACCGGCACTGGTTCTAGCCCAGGGTAAGTATCTCAAGCCAATCTGGTGACCCCACATTAGCAGCCTGTTACAGAAGCCTTGGTAGAACAAGGATGCTCAATATGTGAAGCTTTATAATTATAAAGTGGAAAGTGTATTTTTAATAAAATTTGTAATAAACAAAAAGATTTCCATCAGTTTTATGGCAATGGGGGCCTGCTCTTCCCCTAACTGCTCCTTGGCCTTTTGGTTAGGAGGAAGCAAGACTAGGGGGCATCTGAACTTCAAGACTTCCAGGCCTAGGCCTTGCAGGTAGGATGCCACTCAAAAAAAAAAGCGTTCCCGTCAGTGTATTTGCTCAATATGGGCCATGTGTTTTACAGTCATGCTCAGTGTGCGATGCATTTAATCAACTGAGTTGGCTTCCATTACTGGGCACATGCTGCTTTTGGCAGCAGTTTAATGATCAATAATGTATTTAATGAGTTTTCCTAATATGCAAATACAGGACTCCCCAGCCTCATTTGTATAAGCAGCAGCAACAGCAACGTGATGTGGGTAAGTTGTGGGGCTGCTATTGTGAATGGGATGCAGAATCTGCATGGGTGGGGTGGTAACGTAGCAAGTGGAGTGGGTGCTCCTTTCTGGAAATGCTGCAGGTACATCACTTTTTCACTTTTTGCTTTTCCTAGAGCTGATGCCTGCAAAGAAACCTTTGATCCCAGCATTGCTGATGGGCCTATACCTGCCTGAGTCTGCAGACAGCCTAAAACACTGGTTCTTTTCAGAGTCACATCTCCTATCCATAATTCTTCTGAGTGTGGCAACAACCCCAGTCAAGAACTGCCATTGTGCTCAACTTACCGCAGTGGTTCCAAACTAGGTGCTGCTGCCACCAGGGAAAATCGCCCTGCTTGCATCCTGCACAGCCAAACTGGAAAGAGCTGTGGCATGTGTGTGCGCTTCTCCAGTATTTGTGATTTTTTACAATTAAAAATATAGTCACATCTATATAAACAGCTATTTGGTTATATAGGTCAACCTCTTGACAGAACATTTCACAAACATTTACATTTACATTCCCACACTTACATCCCCTTTATCTTCCCTCCCCCAATCAAACCCCACACCCACAAACCAAACCCAACCTCAAACCCAAACCCATTAGGGCTTTGTGATAAGCCTAAGGCAAGCAAGAGAGTAAGACTGTGCTATAGCTCTTTGTGGTTCAAACCCATAGTGTTGAATGCTGGTGCAAAAGATTGGCTGAGAATGTGAAGGTAGAAG